TTATAGATGTTCAGGGTCGTTGGCATCAACTTTCTGTCCTCTGTCTTGTCCGAAGACAATAAGCTCCACTGGTCTCAGACTCCATCTGGTGATACTCTGGCGGTGGAGATCAGCTCATATGTGCTGCTGGCCGTTCTCTCTGTACAGCCTCTCACGACCGCTAATCTGGGCTATGCTAACCGCATTGTCAACTGGCTTGTGACCCAGCAGAATCCTTATGGAGGCTTTTCTTCCACCCAGGTGACTGACTACCAAACATGGGCACAAACATCATATCCGAGTGGAGGTTTTAAACTGGTGCTTATTTTTAGGACACTGTGGTGGCTCTTCATGCTTTGTCTCTGCTCGCTGCTGAAGTGTTCAGCTTGGCTGGTTCCAGCACTGTTACCGTACAGTCCTCAGTGGTAGGAGGAGACTCTTATAGCTTCGACGTGAATCGGGACAACAGGCTGCTGTATCAGGAGAAGCCGCTGAAGAACGTTCCTGGCAGATATAGTGTTCGAGGGAAGGGCTCCACCTGTGTGTCTATGCAGGTCTGAGGCTTTTCCTCCACCCAGGTGACTGACTACCAAACATGAGCACAGGCAGCCTATCTGAGTGGAGTTTTTAATCTGGTGCTTATTTTTAGGACACTGTCGTGGCTCTTCATGCTCTGTCTCTGCTCGCTGCTCAAGTGTTCAGCCTGGAGGGCTCCAGCACCGTTACTGTACAGTCGTCGTCTGTAGCAGAAGAGGTTTATAATTTCGATGTGAATCGGGACAACCGGCTGCTGTATCAGCAGAAGCCGCTGAAGAACGTTCCTGGCAGATATAGTGTTAGAGCGAAGGGGTCTACCTGTGTGTCTGTGCAGGTCTGTGCCTTCACCTGCTTAACTTCTACCTCTATGCTTGTCCCGGTTCTCCTTGTCATGTTTAGTTTTGTACTCCCAGGTTGCATGTTTCTACAACATCCCGACACCCATTAAAGCTTCCAGAACCCTTCACGTTGACGTGAAGGTGGCAAGAGACTGCAAAGTGCGTGGAGCCGATCTCATGTTGAACATCACTGTGACGTAAGAACCGCTTTGACTGTTCTGTTTTACCCTTAACGCATCTTTACACAGCTGAGCTAAGGCTGCTCTGTGCCTGCTCAATTCTCTGACTGTCACATGAAAGCCAGTCAGAATGTAGTTCTGTCCCACCTCTGCCCCTAATATCAAAGCATACAACTGGAATTTCTGCATAATGCTGCTCAGAGGTGGTATAATGGCATTTAAGCCATTTTTGTAGATGCACCCAACTGCTAGTTTTTATTTTTATTTCTTTAACTCCCCTTCATTTAGGTACAATGGTGCAAAACCAACTACTAACATGGTTATCGTGAACATTAAACTCCTGTCGGGTTTCACAGCAGATACGTCACTGGTTCGTATGTTTTAAGATGACTTGTTTGTAAAGTCCCAAGATGCTTGAAGCCGCTTCAGATGTTAATGGACTTCTCCTCCCTCTCAGATTGGATCTCCACCAGATTCATTTGCTCCACTAGTGCAGCGGGTTGATTCTGGAAATGACCATGTGCTTGTGTATCTGAAAGAGGTGAGATGTGCACTGGGTATGTTCTCTATCTGCCCCCTTCATGTGTGCTGTATATGTGCTCCTGTACTTCTCTTCATCCCTTCCATCTCGTAGGTTCCCAAGGGCATCCCCATGACCTACAGGCTACAACTGAAACCGGTTCTTGTAGTGCAGAATCTCAAGCCAGCGGTCGTTGAGGTTTATGACTACTATCAGCCAAGTATGTGTTCAGTGGCTTATGTGTTTGGCTGAATTCCCTGTAGAACATGCGTGTCAAACTAACTTCCTGTTCCTCTTTCACTTTCAGGTGATGAGTTTGAGACCACATATATGGCTCCCTGTCCATGATTGTTTCACTTCTGGCTATTGGATGCATGAATGAAATAAACTTCTAGTTAAATTTAGTCCTTGTTTGCCTCTTTTGTTGAACATCTGACGTGTTTTGAAACTGGACATCTCAAACTTGCACAGATCACAGGGCTAAAATAACCTCTTGAACAGTTTCTTACATGGTTAACCGACTAGGGTCGGCAAAGGTGCCGGCGGGAGCACTTGTATATTTCCCAGATGAGAGAAAATAACTTAATGCTTTGTCACCTTTGATTGGACACGTAATGCATCCCTTTTATCTAAAGGGTCTACTTTTATTTGTGTACTCACCAGATCAATAAAACTGATCTTGAAAGAAAACAAACTGTGCACTCAGTCTTCACTGTCTCGGCGGAGTGCTTTTCGAAACGTGACCCTAAAATGAACCAACTCAGCAAATACTTTACATACAGACATGAGAAATATATCTATAGAAAGCTTGACATGTCTACTCTTAAATGAAGTGACTCTTACCAAAAACAAATGATCTGTGAAAGTAATCCGTATGAAACTAACAAAGTCCAGTTTTCACATCTAAACTTCTCTCGAAGATCACGCACCAATAGTGCTATTGATATTACAGATCTCCACGTGAGATGCGCGACATGTACCACATCACCATAAACCAAGCAGCAATATGTCTTTCTCTACTTTTCATTTTTGATAGACGCTGAGAGGAATACATTTTGTTTACCTCACAAATAGAACGCGAGCGCGGCTGGAGCCAGCGGAGGAGATCTATCAGGCAGAGTAATGTTTCTTAGCATTAGATGAGGTGTTGTGACAGACTTGAATGCTTACTAGTTGGACTTTTCTCAAACCATAATTCCAGACTAATGTGAAATCGAGTGCAACATTTTGAAATGATTTAGCTATCTTTCATTACATCTAAATGTTGTACAGTGTGAGGATGGTTTTATGTTCTATAAACAATACTATATAAGAGTATTTAGACTATTAAAGTAATGTCTACATGTTTAGACCAATCATTACTGTGAAATAAGCTGTCTGCAAATCTGTTCAAACGTGCATAATTTAGTTACTCGGATATAGAATGTTTTTGTACTGTATGATAATGCATACAAAGCATGTGTGCATCTGATATAAAATCACGTGGGCAATATTAGTGATTGCTAGTGTAATATAGTTGCTCCTGATAGTCCTATCAACATGCTCTATTTATTTTAGTGGGGGGGGGTTTAAGAAATTATAGAAATTAATACTTTTGATGCTTTAAATGGATCAAAAGTGGAGAAAGTCATTTTATGTTACAAAAGATTTCTATTTCAGATAAATGCTGTTCTTCTGAACGTACTATTCAAAGAAACCTGAAAGTTCTACTCCGCTGTTTTCAACAATGTTTTTGAGCAGAAAATCATAATATTAGAATGATTTCTGACGGATAATGTGACACTGAAGACTGAGTAATGATGCTAAAAATTCAGCTTTGAAATCACAGGAATAAATTACATTTTATAATTTAAATAGAAAACCGTTATTTTGGATAGTAAAAATATTTCAAAATGTTAATGTTTCTGCAGTACTTTGGATCAAATAAACCGACTTGGTGAGCAGAAGAGACTTCTTTAAAGGTGAGCAGAAGAGACTTCTTTAAAGGAGTCATATGATGTTGCTAAAAATAACTTTTTTTTTTTTGGTGTAATGAAATGTTTATGCGGTTTAAAGTTAAAGAAAACACATTCTTTTCCACATACTGTACATTGTTTCTCCTTTATGCCCCGCCTTTCTGAAACGAGTCTCTTTACAAAGCTCATTGTTCTGAAAAGCGAGGTGTGCTCTGATTGACCAACTATCCAGTGCATTGTGATTGGCCGAATACCTCAAGCGTGTGACGGCAATGTTACGCCCCTACCATACTGTGACGCAGGGTCCCGGAGCGACGAGACTAAACCAATAATACCCATTACAAACTAGGCATTTGTTTCATCCAGTGGGGACATAATTACGGATTATCATGACTTGTACTGTCTCTTTACACGTTACGTATCGCACCGCGTAAACCAAACCATGTCCGCATTTGTGATCGGAGAAATTACAAACAAGTGCTACTCTACACTTCTCAAAACTCTCGTTTGAATCATCAGTGGCAAATTATTTAAATATGAAAACGTACTTACAGTCTGAGTCAGAACAGAACATTGTAGTCCACTCTACCAGGATCAGGAAACAGTCCTCCATAAAATGTGCTGCACACATCTGAATATTTGGTTTGAAGTGTTCTGGAACAGTGTTGTAAATACAACTTAACCACTGATTTCTAGTCGTGTCCTCTTTTGGAAGGCCAAA